GGAGTACAATTTAAGATGAGATTTGGGTGGGGACACAGAGTCAAACTATATCAGTGATATTTACAGGGTCTAGGGATTAGGACCTGGACATCTTTGCAGAGGGTATTATTCTTTCACAGTACTCATTAGTTTTGGTGACCCCCTAGACTTTTGAGATTATGGTCGTTTCCCTCCAAGAATTTTCAGCTCTGCCCATACTCACATCTTTTTGACAAATTTTGTGTGAATTTTTCTATTTCTTTTTGCAGTTCTACAAGTTTCTGTTATATGAATTTTGTAACTTTCTAATTAGGTGCATAAATATTAGGACTATATATCCTCTAATTGACCCTTTTATCATTATGAAACAACCCTTATTTTCTCTGTTTATATACCTCTGCTCTGAAATCTATTTTGTCTATGATTACTCCAACTTTCTTTTGATTAGCGTTATCACAGGAGTATCTTTTTCTATCCTTTAACCTACTGCATTCTTTGTATTTAAAGTAGCTGAGGCCAGATATGGTGGCTCGAACCTGTAATCCCAGCACTTTGGAAGGTTGGGGTGGGCAGATTGCTTGAGCCCAGGAATTCAAGACCGGCCTGGGCAACATGGTGAAACCTTGTCTCTACAAAAAATACAAAAATTAGCTGGGCATGGTGGTGTGCACCTGTAGTCCCAGATACCCGGCAGGCTGAGTTGGCAGGATTGCTTGAGCCCAGGAGGTGGAGATTGCAGTGAGATGTGATCATGCTACTGTACTCCAGTCTGAGAGACAGAGTGAGACCTTGTCTCAATAAACAAATAAAATAAAAAATAAACTAGCTGTCTGTATGCAGCATGTGATTGGGCTTTGCTTTTTGTTTTTGAGATGGGGTTTTGCACTTGTGGCCTGGGCTGGAGTGCAATGGTGTGATCTTGGCTCACTGCAACCTCTGCCTCCTGGGTTCAAGCGATTCTCCTGCCTCAGCCTCCTGAGTAGCTGGGATTACAGGCATGAGTCACCAAGCCTGGCTAATTTTGTATTTTTAGTAGAGACAGAGTTCTCCATGTTGGCCAGGCTGGTTTCGAACTCCTGACCTCAGATGATCTGCCTGCCTCGTCCTCCCAAAGTGCTGAGATTACAGGTGTGAGCCACTGTGCCTGGCCTGGGCTTTGCTTTTTAATCCAGTCTCACAATCCCTGCCTTTTAATTGGATTTTTAGATCACTGTGTTTAATGTAATTATTGATATATGCATTTTAGAAAAACCCCTCTGGAGATAGACTGGAGACATGGAGACCAAAGAGTCTCTTGCTGTAATCAAGTTAAGAAATAACAGCTTAAACCAAGGAAATGGTCCTAGAGATGGAGTGGAAAAGGGGCTGTATCTGAGAGATGTTAAGGATATATCATCAATAGAAGTGGAGCTAAGACAGAGAGATTTGTCAGTTATGATGTAGGTACCTAGATGGATTGCAATGTACGGAAATTATTTTTTTTTGTTTTGAGATGGAGTTTCGCTCTTGTTACCCAAGCTGGAGTGCAATGGCGCGATCTCGGCTCACTGCAACCTCCGCCTCCTGGGTTCAGGCAATTCTCCTGCCTCAGCCTCCTGAGTAGCTGGGATTACAGGCACGCGCCACCATGCCCAGCTAATTTCTTGTATTTTAGTAGAGACAGGGTTTCACCATGTTGACCAGGATGGTCTTGATCTCTTGACCTGGTGATCCATCCGCCTCGGCCTCCCAAAGTGCTGGGATTACAGGTGTGAGCCACTGTGCCCGGCCAGAAATGTATTGTTTTAAATGTCTGGATAGTTTTACAGATTGTCTGGTATTATATTAGCTGGTACTATATTATATTAGTCTGATTTTCCATCTTTATCCAGTTTATGTTGAATCTAATGCAGAAGGTACTAATACTAAGTAAGCACCATAGTAAGTTAACATATTATATTATTATATTAACTATGGTTAATACCATAGTAAGTCTCCAACATACAACAAATCTTTGGGGAAATGCATCTTTTCCTAACCAGAGGGACCTGCTAGAGCAATTGTATTCTGAAGTTGGTTGACATATCACTAATTCTTCATTACTGAGAGCATTAGATTACAGAGTAACTCTCGGTTAGAGCAGAATAGAGAGAAGTGAGTGCTGGGGAGTTCAAGAAGACAATGGGCACTCTGAGGTACAGAACGCCCTTCAGGAACAAAGGACTTATTCCTCCAGTTACTGGGAGTACTCCTGGCAGAAAGACCTCAGCCTTCTTCAGAAATTGCTTTAGTTGAGCTGCTTTGCTGGATAGCATGCCCTCTCCATGGGACAGCCCTCATCTAACAACTGATGATACAAGGGTATAAAGACATAGCTTCTGATATGGTTTGGCTAGGTGTCCCCACCCAAATCTCATCTTGTAGCTCCCATAATTCTCATGTGTTGTGGGAGGGATCCAGTGGGAGATGACTGAATTATGGGGGCAGGTCTTTTTTGTGGCATTCTCATGGTAATGAATGGGTCTCATGATATCTGATGGTTTTTAAAAAAACAAGAGTTTCTCTGCACAAGCTCTTTTTGCCTGCCACCATCCACGTAAGATGTGACTTGCTCCTCCTTGCCTTTCACTGTGATTGTGAGGCCTTCCAAGCCACATGGCACTGTAAATCCACTAAACTTTCTTTTGTAAATTGCCCAATCTTCCCAGCTCCTTCCATCACAGGTCTGGAAGCCTAGGAGGAAAATATTGTCTCCCTGTCTCCAGTCTATCTCCAGAGGGGATCTGGAGGGGTCTATCTTCTAGATTTGACTGCCCTGCTGGATTTTGGACTTTATCAGCATCATGAAAATGAACTAATACAATAAATTGGTACTGAGAGTGGGGTGCTGCTGAAAAGATACCCAAAAAGGAAGCAACTTTGGAACTGGGTAACAGGCAGAGATTGGAACAGTTTAGAGGGCTCAGAAAAAGAGAGGAAAATGTGGGAAAGTTTGGAACCCTCTAGAGACTTGTGGAATGGCTTTGACCAAAATCTGGTAATAATATGGACAGTGAAATCCAGGCTGAGGTATTCTCAGATGGTGATGAGAAACTTGTTGGGAACTGGAGCAAAGGTGACTCTTGTTTTGTTTTAGTAAAGAAACTCGTGGCATTTTGCCCCTGCTCTAGAGATTTGTGGAACTTTGAACTTGAGAGAGATGATTTAGGGTATCTGGTGGAAGCAATTTCTAAGCAGCAAAGCATTCAAGAGGTGACTTGGATACTGTTGAAGGGATTCAGGTTTATAAGGAAATGAGAGCATAAAAGTTCAGAAAATTTGCAGCCCAACAATGCAATAGAAAAGAAAATCCCATTTTCTGAGCAGAAATTTGCATAAGTAATGAGGATCTGAGTGTTAATCCTCAAGACAATGGGGAAGATGTCTCCAGGGCATGTCAGCAGTCTTCATGGCAGCTCCTTCCATCACAGATCTGGAGGCCTAAGAGGAAAATATGGTTTTGTGGGCCATGCTTAGGATCCCTGTGTTATATGCAGCCTAGGGACTTGATGCCCTGTGTCTTGGCCATTCCAGCTGTGGCTGAAAGGGACCAACATGGAGCTTGGGTCTTGGTGTCAGAGGGTGCAAGCCTCAACTTCTAAATGGTATTGAGCCTTCAAGTGCACAGAAGTCAAGAACTAAGGTTTGGGCACCTCTGCCTAGATTTCAGATGTATAGAAATGCCTGGATGCCCAGGCAGAAGTTTATTGTAAGGGTGGAGACCTCATTGAGAACCTCTGCTAGAGCAGTGTAGAAGGGAAATGTGGGGTTGGAACCCCCACACAGATTCTCTACCGGGGCATCACCTAGTGGAGCTATGAGAAGAGGGCCACTGTCCTCCAGACCCTAGAATGGTAGGTCCACTGGCATCTTGCATTATGTGCTTGGAAAAGCTGCAGACATTCAATGCCAGCCCATAAAGGCAGCCAGGAAGGAGGCTTTACCCTGAAAAGCCACAGGGATGGAGCTGCCCAAGACTATAGGAATCTACTTCCTGCATCAGCATGACCTGAATGTGAGACATGGAGTCAATGGAGACAATTTTGAAGTTTTACGATTTGACTGCCCTGCTGGATTTTGGACTTGCATGGGGCCTGTAGCCCCTTTGTTTTGGCCAATTTCTCCCATTTGAGTGGCTGTATTTACCTAATGCTGTACCTTATTGTATCTAAGAAGTAACTAACTTGCTTTTGATTTTACAGGCTCATAGGTGGAAGGGAGTTGCCCTGTCTTGGATAAGACTTTGGACTGTGGACTTTTGAGTTAATGCTGAAATGAATTGAGACCTTGGGGGACTGTTGGGAAGGCATGATTGGTTTTGAAATGTGAAGACATGAGATTTGGGAGGGGCCAGGGATGGAATATGGTTTGGCACTCAAATCTCATCTTGTGGCTCCATAACTCCTATGTGTTGTGGGAGGGACCCAGTGGGAGATGACGGAATCATGGGGACAGGTCTTTCCTGTGCCATTCTGGTGATAGTGAATGGGTCTCATGAGATCTGACGGTTTAAAAAAAAATGGGAGTTTCTCTGCAGAAGCTCTTTTTGCCTGCCACAATTTCACCTAAGATGTGACTTGCTCCTCCTTGTCTTCTGCCATGATTGTGAGGTCTCCCCAGCTATGTGGAACTGTAAGTCCATTAAATGTCTTTCTTTTGTAAATTGCCCAGTCTAGGGTATGCCTTTATGAGCAGTGTGAAAACGGACTAATATAGCTTCTTTGCCCTAACTCAGGACAAGTTTGAAAGGTCATCTGTGTTGAGGTCCCCAAGAGCACCCACAAGTTTGATGATTAACTAGGACTCACAGAATTCAGCATACAGTTGTACTCAAGGCTATGATTATAGCAAAAGGATACAAAGAAGCAGAATCAGCTAAGGCAAAAGGCACATGGTAGAAGGTCTAGAGGAAACCAGGTGTAATTTCTGAGTTCTTCCTCAGTGTAATCACATAGGATACATTTAAGTCTTATAGCACTGAACTGTGACAATACAGAAGCTCATTAAAGATTCAATGTCCAAGGTTTTATTTGGGGCTGGTCGAACAGGCCCATTTACATAACACATTGTCAAATCCAGACTCCCAGAGGGAAGGTAGGTATTCAGCCTAAACCACATTGTCTGTACAAACAGTCTGGCACAGTGAGCTACTCTTATCAGTTAGGGAATGGTGGGAGCCCTCCCCAAATCCAAGTTCCCAGATGCCACTCAAGAACCAACCTTGCAACCTTGCAGGCCTTTCCGAGGATAGCAGTCTCGTGCCTATGTTAACTCATTTTTGTGTACTACCTGTTTCAGTTTCCTGTGGGGCTCACTAAGGTGCTACCTTTACAGACCTATAAGATAGACCTGAGTGGTGGCCTCCACCATCTCTTTTCATTTAATTCACCATTCTGGTCCCTGCAAAAATTTAGACAGATCTTGCAAGATGACAGTTGGACTAAGGAAAAATTCAACCGACTAGTTTGTTAGAAGAGATTAACATGTTAGAAGAGATTAACATGGCTATGGGTAGATGCCATACAACCACTGATCTGGTGGGTACCTGCTTTTCCGTCCCTGCTAAAGGATCAGAAACAGCTCACAATCACATGAAAAAAAAACAAAACAGTAAACATATGTGGTCTTGTTCCCAAGGCAAAGTTAATGATCTTGCTTCTGTTATAATTGAAATACTCTAGACCAGACAGACATTCTATGGAAAATCACTTAGTTCACTTTACTGATGGATTATGTTAATTCAATGGGACGACTAGTTAATTGGAGGGCTTGATAAAGCATATGTGCTCCAGAGGGTGAGATAAAACTCATGAAATTCAGGGGCCTATAACATCAGTAAAATTTGCGAGGAGAAGTGTCCAGTGATTTGGGGCATGCTAAGACATCCCCTCTCAAGTAAGAGATAAATTATTACAATTTGCATGTTCCACTATGAATAAAAAAGCACAATGCTTGACAGGCCTCTTTGGGTTCTGAAGGCAGTATATTTCACACCTAGGGATACTGCTTTCCTTTATATACTGGGTAACATCAAATCTGCTAGTTTTGAGTGAGGGCCAAAGCAGAAAAGGGCTCTATGGTAGGTCCTTATTGTGCTGAAAGCTGGCCTGCTATCTGGGCCATCTGAACTTGCAGACCCTGTATTAGAGTTAGGGAAAAGACGTGGAAGAAATTAGAGCAAAACCTCTATGTATATACTCTTCATATTTCTCTGTTCGTTTTATTGAATAACAATGTATAAAAAACCACATAACACATTACTGGAGAAAATGTTATTTTTCAAATAAATAATGGAAGATAATGGATTTTCTCTCTCTCAATTATTTCTGTAATAATTTTATCTTTTTATTAAAACTAAACATATATTTAAGACATTTCACCTTTTCTCAAATTACAGACTATGGTATAACTGTAATTATCACTAGCAACCAAAGTCTATTTCCAGAAATTTAAACTTGACATAGAGAAAAATTCCACATATCGAGTGTTTCGTACCTGACTTGGTGCTGAGGTTGAACTGTTGTACTGTGTTCCTGGCTCTAGAGGCCATGCCTAGCTTTTAAAGCAAAGTGGAATGAACCCTCAGGTCAGCCTTGGCTGCCAGAGGAACTTCTGGAGGGGGAAGACTTGGGTTTTGCTTTATACAGGACAGTTGTTTCCTGGGCTAGGCTGGAATCTCTGAGAACAGAGGACTGAGATGCATACTATGTTTAGGCATTTGTTTGGAGCAGCAGGGAGGACCCTATTTTTAATCTCAGATTTCTATCAGTAATTGTTTTCCTTTCAGTATAAAGAGAAAATGGGCAGCTCTGGGTCCTTAATGATACCAATATTTTGCCCGTGGTTATTTATTTCTCAGTTATACTAGGTCCAGTGAAAAAGAAGACAAGGGCTGAGTATATTATGAATATAAGTAAAAGTGACTGTGGCAATTTTGATAGTGGCAGACTGGGATTTTACTCTTGGAAATGTCTTCTAGGCTTGGTGTATTCTAAACAGCCAGTAGACTGCTAGAATTCAGACATACTGTGTTTAGATCTACCCTCTTACTTTTCTCCATTGTCCACTGACTTACTTTATATATTCACAATAGGATGAGGGAAAAATAATCTCTATTCAAAACATTTCCATAAAACCTAAGATCATACCCAAACTTTCCATTAGGGTGTCCACTTACGAAGTAAAAATTAAGTAACTAAAATAAATAATGGGTAACTAATGAGAGTTTTTTTTGTTTTTGTTTTTTTTTAAGATGAAGTCTTGGTCTGTTTCCCAGGCTGGAGTGCAGTGGCATGATCTTGGCTCACTGCAACCTCTGCCTCCTGGGTTCAAGCAATTCTCTTGCCCCAGCCTCCTGAGTAGCTGGGATTACAGACACGTGCCACCATGCCTGGGTAATTTTTTTTTTTGTATTTTTAGTAGAGATGGGGTTTCACCATGTTGGCCAGGCTGGTTTTGAACTCCTGACCTCAAGTGATCCACATGCCTTGGCCTCCCAAAGTGCCAGGATTACAGGCATGAGCCACTGTGCCTGGTCAGGGTTTTTTTTTTTTCCAGGTAGGAAAAAAAATATGGCCTCAGTGATTTCCTCTTAGCATAATGCTGATCTTGCAGATGTGAGTTAAATCCCATTTAGAGGGAAGGTTTAGAATCCTACATAAAAGTGTAACATGCATTAAAACAGAAAATTCTTAAATACAAAAAATTCAAGTGACCATATCTTAACTAATATTAATGTAACACAAATAAAATTACAATAAACAAATAAACAAATAAGCAGAAAACACACTTCAATTTTTGTTACTATGATGAAACAACTGATACTCACATTCTAACGGCTACAGCATGGACTTCTGAATGAGGTTCATGTATGTATATGTGCTTCTAAGTAGAGTGTGGCTTTGGCAAATGGTTTTTATTCTAGTCCATGGTATTTATGACTATAATTTCAGTTGTCTTTGGTAAGGAATTATGAGAAAAGCTAAATTTATGACACTTGGATCAATTAGGAAATAACAAGGAATTATTCTTTTCCATATTCGGTAAGAAGCTATTCTAAAGCTGCTGTTTTAATAACCCATTTCTCTAAATAAAATCCCTTGGACAATAATCTACTCCCCTAATTAAAATATTCTAATCCTTTGTCTCCAATTCCTGTTTCAACTGCAAGAGCCACAATTATTATTTTTAGTGGCTTCTTTTATATTTTGTATTTTTTTAAAATGTGATTTGTGTTCTACTTTCAGCATAAAATAAAACCAGAGAACATTTCTTGATGGGTATCACAGATGAAGCTGGTGCCATATATTTCGTATTTTTAAAGAATGTCAGCGATACTACTTTAGATATAAAATACAAAGCGGCCTTGAAAGTATAGAGCTAGTGCTGGCATTCTGATTTTAGATATACCTTTATGAGGAAATAGTCATGAAGCAAAGTGTTCAGACCTGTCAGAGCAACTAACCATTTACAAATCAGATTTATGACATTTTTTGTCTCTTAAAGCTATTCTGGTTTACATCAAAGTGCTCCTAGTGAGGAGGAATGATGTACTGAAAACTGAGACTTCACGAGGGGTCTTCTTAAATTGGCTCTGAACAATTTTAAAAGCCAATAGATCTTCACCATGTGTTATTCTCAGAGTCAATACCACAGGAAGCCTTGTAAAAAGATCCTTTGGTATTACTAATAGCTAAAGCACCTTGGATTGAATCCAGATGGATATGTATTGTAAATGAATTGTGCTTTGTAGTAAAATGCATTTAAAGTAAAATTCAATGAACTTACCATAACCACATGTAAGTAAAGGTATTCCTTTGAAGCCAAAAATCTGATGTTGCTGGAGAAGTGTCAAATTTCTTCTACTATAGTTTAATGTGACTAATTTGACATCATTTCTTTAGCTCTGTGACATTTTCTTGAGAGTTTAACATCTTACAATAGTGACCCGGCATTAGTATAGGTCTATAAAAACATAATCGTCACAAGTCACACAAATATGTAATTACCACACATTTTTGCACACTTTCAAAAAAGTCTTTGGATAACAACTACGATGCATCCAGAGAATCCAAAGCAGCACTTTAAATGATGGATATAATTTACTGACGGTAAATGAGATTTTCTAAAAATCTGTACCAATGACAATTTTAGGTAGAACATAAAATTATTTCATGAAATATAGTCCCGTTCTATGCTCTCCTGACGACACTGCCAACAGAAAGCATCCAGTCTATTTGCTGTTTCTTGGCTGATCAGACATTCATCCTTTAATTCCCTGATTGTCTTCCTCAATGATTTCTGAAAACGTTTTTCTCGGTCTAAAACATTCCGTAGACTTTCCTTTGTATCCTCTAGCTCAGTGATCACATGATCTAATTTATGCTTAAGTTTCTTTGGACTGTCCATTACACTGTAGCTATGTTCCTAAAAACATAAACACCAAGTTATTAAATCAGACAGACATGTAGTTGGAAAAAAGCTCATAACTAAGCCTAAGCTGTTTCTTCATTTATAATGCTTAGAGAACATCTTTAAGTTTATATTTAGAGGTTTAAGGAACATAGGAAGAAGATGGGCGGAAGCAAAATTTAGGGTGCTAAGGGTCTCCTTTTACTAAGGCCAGGCATACACAAGGTCTGCAGAATATTACAGATGGGAAGCACTTATCTCTATGAACATCATGACACTTGCAATGTGCCCTACAGCTTTTGTTCCTTCAATGTGGTGCTGGTAAGTTTAATTTTTACCTGTCAAACAAATTTAAATTAAGTTTTTAACTGGATTATTTTATTGGATGGCTATTTCATTTTATAAGGTATGACAGGAAAAGAGTACTGCAGCAAGTTCTCAGGCCAGGTGCTGGGGATTTAGAGAGGACTCTGGTCTCGGAATTTTTCAGAGACAACTCCTCTCAGTATTTATTATGGCTATGCTTAAATTTGCTAGATATGCTTTTTTTTTCTTCTTCATTTGAAAATAGGAAAAATAACACTCACATATTTTATAAAGGTACCATAAAATAATGTTGAAAAGTTATTATTTAATATTAAAATTAGTAATGGAGACTGGATTGACCCCTCCCTCAAAGAACCAACACAAGCCTTAAAAGACAGAAAAAAATAGCTTCTAGGATAATGGATTTGGCAATGACGGTAGCTATTGTGGACAGATGGAAAACAGAGGTGAGACCAAAAACTGCCCCAGCTAACTGCTTGAGAGAGTTTCTAGGCCTCAGGGCAAGGAGGGGAAACCCTGGCAGAGCTTAGCAGACTGAGTTAAGGAGGTAGTGCAAAACATCCAGGGAGACCAAGGTGGTTACAGTTCACAGGACAAAGTAGACAGGTGAGAGCTGCACAGAAAAAAACTCGAGATCTTCAGAGGCTCCCCCCTGATGCCCTTGAGTATTCCACGGAGTAAGATCAGCACACACATGCATGTAAAAAACTACTCAAGACTTGAGGAAAGAACAACCAGAGATTAAGAGTGCCCTGTGCTCAGAGGGGATAGGCACTATCCCCACTAGCCAGACTTGAAAATGTCAAGATTCATGGACAGTAAGTATACAAAAGGGTTTTGCCTGCATAGTGAATATAAATGGCCCTATCTGTTCTAGTTCTGTCAAACAAAGTAAAACCTGAAAGGGTCAAACAGTTTCTAACTAACTGTACCCCAGAATAATACTCAAGAAAACAGGATACAAAAATATCATGGCGTGCAAAATTTACCATGCATGCAAATAAGCAGAAAAGCATTAGTCATACTGAGATACATCAATCAATGGAAACCAAGCCGAAACTGATACAAATGTTAGAATTAGCAGACAATTAAGAAAGTTATTAAAATTATACTCCATATATTCAAAAAGTTAAGTACATGAAAGATAAAATAATACTCTACTAGAATATATACAGATAACTACGATGTGTGAGGTAAAAAATATACTGGTGAGAATGGGAATGTATTTTTTGAAATTTGACATTTCAGAAGAAAAGATTAGTGAATGTACATTTACAGTAATAGGAACTATCCAGTATGCACTATAGAGAGAAAGGAGATAGAAAAAAAAATAAAGCGTTAGCAACCTGTTGCACAATTTCAGACAGCCTAATATATATGTAATTAGAATTCCTATGGAAGACAAAAAATTGGGAAAGAAATATTTGAAGAAATCATGGCAAAAATTTTTCCAAGTTTGAGAAAAACTATAAACTGCTAAATAAAAAAGCTCAACAAAAAAAATTTTTTTTGAGATGGATGGTAACAGGTTTCACTTTTGTTACCCAGGCTGGAGTGCAATGGCACGATCTTGATTCACTGCAACTTCTGCCGCCTGGGTTCAAGCAATTCTCCTGCCTCAGGCTCCCTACTAGCTGGGATTACAGGTGCCTGCCACCACGCCCAGCTAATTTTGTATTTTTAATAGAGATGGGGTTTTTCCATGTTGGTCAGGCTGGTCTCGAACTCCAAATCTCAGGTGATCTGCCCACCTTAGCCTCCCAAAGTGCTGGTATTACAGGCATGAACCACCATTCCTGGCTAAAAGCTCAACAAATCTTAAGCACAAGAAACATGAAGAAAATGAAACCAAGGCATATCATCATCAGATTAGGCAAAAGCAATAGAGGGAAAAGAATTCTTGTCCAGCACAATGGCTCATGCCTGGCTCAGCACTTTGGAAGGCTAAGGCAGGGAAACTGCCTGAGCTTAGGAGTTTGAGACCAGCCTGGGCAACATGGGGAAATCTACAAAAACATACAAAAATTAGCCTGGTATGGTGGCAGATGCTGATAAGTCCCAGCTACTCAGGAGGCTGAGGTGGAGGACTGCTTGAGCCTGGGAGGCTGAGGCTGCAGTGAGTTGTGAATGTGCAGCTGCACTCCAGCCTGGGTGATGGAATAAAACCCTGTCTCCAAAATAAATAAATAAATAAATAAAAAAAAGTTTTAAAAAAGAGAAAAACTCTTAAAGGCCAAGGAAAAAAATTATTAGGTACAGAGAATAAATCTGACAATTAAATTTTTCATCAGAAACAGTGCATGTAAGTACAGTAGGGCAACATTTTCAAAAGTACCAAAACCAACTGCCCCTCCCCAAAACTGTTAACCTAGAATTTGATACCTAGTGAAAATGTCTTTCAAAAGTGAAGAGCAAACTTTTTAAGAAATAGAAACGCTGAAAGAATGTATCACTATAGGAAATTAACATTTTTATAGTTGCACTATAGTAAAGTAAAGTAAGTCGTAGGCAAAATGATACCAGGTGGAAATATGGACTGACACAAAGGAATGAAAAGCCTTGGAAATGGCACCTACATGGATAATATCAGATTTTTTTTTTCTTATTATCCAAATCTCTTTAAAGAATAACTTACTGTTTAAACAAAAATAATAGCAATATGGTGTGGAATCTATAGCATACATAAAAGTGAAATGCATGACAACAATAGCACAAAGATTGAGAAAGGAAAAATGAAAGTACATGACTATAAGATTTTTGCATATGAAGTGGAATAATATCACATTAACATAGTCTATGATAAGTTAAGGATGCCATAAACCTAAACACAGGCACACAGGCCAATGGACCAGAAAAGAGAACCCAGAAACAAATCCATACATCTATAGTGAACTCATTTTCGACAAAGGTACTAAGAACATAAACTAGGGAAAAGACAGTCCCTTCAATAAATAGTGCTGGATCTCCAAATGCAGAAAAATGAAACTAGACCCCTACTTCTTACAATATACAAAAATCAAATCAAAATGGATTAAAGAATTAAATCTAAGACCTCAAACTATGAAACAACTATAAGAAAACACTGGAGAAACTCTCCAGAACACTGGTCAGGGCAATGTATTTTTTTCTTTTTTGAGACACATTCTCACTTTGTTGCCCAGGCTGGAGTACAGGGGTGTGATCAAGCCCACTGCAGGCTTGATCTCCTGGGCTCAAGCGATCCTCCCACTCAGCCTCCTGAGTAGCTGGTGCTATAGGCATATGCCACCACCCCCAGCTAATTTTTTTTGTATCTTTGGTAAAGATGGGGTTTCACCATGTTTCCCAGGCTGGTCTCAAACCCCTGAGCTAAAGCAATCTACCCACCTTGGCCTCCCAAAGTGCTGGGATTACAGGAATGAACCACCATGCCTGGCCTAAAGATTTCTTCAGTAATACCCCACAATTACAGGCAACCAAAGCAAAAATGGACAAATGATATCACATCAAGTTAAAAAGCTTCCATATAGCAAAGAAAACAATCAACAAAGTGAAGAGAAAACCCACAGAATGGGACAAAATGTTTGCAAACTATCTATCCATCTGACGATGGATTGATGACCAGAATATATAAGGGGCTCAACAAACTCAACAGGAAAGAAATCTAAAAATTTGATTAAACACTTGGCAAAACATCTGAATACACATTTCTCAAAATAAGACATACGAATGGCAAACAGGCATATGAAAAGGTACTCGCTGATCATCAGAGAAACGCAAATCAAGTCTACAATGAGAAAATATCTCATGCCATTCAAAATGGCTTTTAAACAGGCAACAACAAATGCTGGCAAGGATATGAAGAAAAAGGAACCCTGTACATCGATGGGGTAAATTAGTATAACCACTATGGAGAACAGTTTGGAGGTTCCTCAAAAAACTAAAATAGAGCTACTGTACGATCTAGCAATCCCACTGCTGGGTGTATACCCAAAAGAAAGGACATCATTATATCAAAGGGATATCTGCACTCCCATGTTTGGTGCAGCTCTTTCAAAATAGCTGGTATTTGGAAGCAACCTAAGTGTCCATCAACAGATGAATGGATAAAGAAAATGTGGCACTTAAGCACCATAGAATACTATTGAGCCATTAAAAAAATGAAATTCAGACATTTGCAACAACATGGATGGAACTGGAGGACATCATTATGTTAAGTTAAATAAGCCAGACACTGAAAGACAAACATTACATCTTCTCACTTATTTGCAGTATCTAAAAATCAAAATGAATTGAACCCACAGGGATAGGAGAGTAAAATGATGGTTATGAGAGGCTGGTAAGTGTGGTGGGGTAGGGGGGAAGTGGGGGACGGTTAATGGGTATAGAAATTTAGTTAGGCAGACTAAATAAGATCTAGTATTTGATAGTACAACAGGGTGACTATAGCCAACAATAATGTACTATATATTTAAAAATAACTAAAAGTATAATTGGATTTTTTTGTAACATAAAGAATAAATGCTTAATGTGACAGATACCCTATTTACCCTGACATAGTTATTATGCATTGTATACCTAACTATGTCTCATGTATCCTATAAATAAACATACCTACTATGTACCCACAAAATTAAAAAGATTATTATAAAGCTATATTAATCAAGATAGTAAGAGATCTACATTCCATGCTTGCCTCTAACATGAACAAGCAATGAGATGAATAAATAAATGCAAGCTTGAATACTCTGTATGTGTATGACTGAGAAAACTTAAAAAGAAATAGCTATTTTTTAATTGCATATTTCATATAGAAATTACAGCAGTTAAAGGGAAGAATTAATTATTTCCTTGGTAGAAATATCCTTGCAGAAGCTTTCTTCAATTAACTACATTATGTAACCAAAGGATTAACTACCTCTATTTTGCTGTTGCATATATATAAATTACAATGACCCTAGGAAGCAGTATTATTTGTAGATATTACATATTATCCCCTAGATTTTGCTAGAATTCTGAAAAATTTGATTCTAATGAAGAGGACATATTCATCTTTAAAGTATTAACATGAGGTCAGTAAGTCATTTACTTACAAAAATGAACTGGGATTGGAATTCTTCAATACATGAGGAAGAACCAACAAGATGGTGATTGTAGTTAGTGGCTGGAAGGGTTTTGAGGCTGAAGTTTTTTCTACAATGAAGCTTTTCTCTTTTCCCCTGTTAAGAATAGTTAATAACAATCATTGAGATATTTTTGTCCTTTCTTAGATTTTTATTCCTTCTTTTATAGTGAAGTTAATACCATATTTCTTTTCATGGAAATTGCTTTTAAAAGTCAGTAAACTCCACCAGATAATTTAAAAAGAATTTCCTGAAAATAACTCTAAGCTTCATCTAAAAAGACAAATTCTCCTAAAAAGTAAGAGTGTAGGATGTTATACCCTACAAGCTAATAACACAGTAACAATAATTAAAATAGGATGATCCTTTCTTAGGACTAGACAGAAAAACCTAGAAATATATCATCAAGCAGATAGATGCCTTTAGGATAAAGGTGGCATTCTAAATAAGTAGAGTAAGGCCACAAATCATGTAAAAATCGACTAATTAAGAAAAGTAGTTATATCCTTTAATATAATAAAGCACAATAAAATTCCATGTACTGACAATTTACATAAAAAAGAAAACCACGAGGAGGTAGAAAAAATATAGAGAATATTTATATAATCTTAGGTGAGGAAGCTAATCTCATATAACAAGAGAAAATACAGGATTGACTACATTTAAAAAAGCCTGAATTTCAAAGAATATAACAGAATAAACCCATGCCATAACTAGAACTGAAGAAAAACAATAAAAAATAACCAGGAAGGAATGTAGGAGAAAGTGGAGGAAAAAAAGGAACTGCAATGTAGATGGCAGTTAAATGATTCCTATCCTCAACAGCCAGTGTTTTCACAAAACAGCATAGAAAAAGATAATAGAAGGGAACCTGAATAAGTAACTCACAAAAGAATACAAATATCCAATAAACCTATGAAAAAACATAGACGTGCATGAGTATTCATAAATAGATTAAAACACTAGGATGCCATTTTGTCCATCAATTTCAGCAAAGTTTACAAATGCAACTTATACCAAGGATTATACCAAGGGTAGGTAGACATTGTTATGCATAGCTAGCAGGGGGAGTAGACTGGTGCAAGCTTTCTAATGAGGCTTTCTCTAATGAGACTTTGGAAGATCTTTATCAAAAGCGAATCTTTAAAAATGTATATAATCTTTGATCCAATCATTTCATTTGCAGGATTTAGTTCAAGGAAATAAGGATATGAGCCAGCTAGAATAATGTTCCTTTTAGTGCTGTTTAAAATAAGGAAAGATGACACCTATACACATTATTAAAGATTGATTATATATACTATTGTTTATATGTAGGATCAACTGCTATATGGTCAGCAAAAATGGTCTATAAAATTGACACCACTAACTACTGTTAAGGTTATAGAATGAAAGGAACTCTTATATGCTGATAGTGGGACTATAAATTTGCAAAAGCACTCTGGAAAACTATGGCAATATATATTCATGCTGAACATCCACATCGCCAGGACCTAGTAATTCCCACTTCTAATTGAAGCATATATATACCCTATAGAAATGTGTATATAAATGCACCAAAAGACATGCCCCAAAATGTTCAGAACTGCACAATAGCCCTAATGTGAAAAACCATACCAACATTTATCAATAGTAGCATAAAGAAATTAGTTTATTTGTACAATGGAATACTATACAGCAAAGAAAATAAATGGATCAGTATCTCATGCTACAATGTGGATGACTCACCCAAGATGTTGAGCTAAAGAAGCCAGAGTACATACTGTCAACAGGATTCCACTTATATAATTGACAGTGAATCAAGTCAAGACAGTAGTTACTTTTGGGGGGTAGTGACTGGGAAAGCATGTGAGGGAGGATTCCGGAGCACTTAAAATGTTTTATATCTTGGTCCGAGGGGAGTGACATGATTGTACTCACTTTTTGAAAACTCACTGATTTGTACACTTATAAATAAGATTCTATAAATATGTTTTACTTCAATATAAAGTTTAGTTAAAAAAAGTGACAGTCTATATAAGTTTCTCTTAAACATGTGATCCATAGATCTGCAGCACAGAGTGGGATGCTTGTTAGAAAGTACACTCCAACTTACTGAATCAAATTCTCTGGAAGATGTAAGAGTCTTTATTTTAAACAAACTCACTAGATAATCTTTATGTAGACTAAAGCTTGAAAGCTATGGTTGTAGGAAAATATTTAATGTCATGGAGAGTAGTAGTGAATAGTGGACTCTGAAGCCAAAATGCCTGGGATCAAATTTAGCCTCTGTCACTTAATAGAGGTGTGACCCTGGAGAAGGCATTCTAGCTCTCTGGGCCTCAGTGTTTTCAAGAGATAAAACGAAAATAATAATAGTACATACCTCACATGGTTCTTTTAAAGATTGAGTTAATAGATATGTAAAGTACTTGGAATAACTAACACCTGGCACACAGTACACACTATGTTAAAAAACCCAATAAAGCAAATAAAGGAAAAGATATTGAGTATAATTCTATTTCCAGAAGGTTATCTATATAAATACAGATGAATTTATATAAAGCATATATACAAATCATTACAGATCAAAGTGTTCAGAGTATTATCTATGGATTATGTGATTATTATCTTTATTTTATTTTTGCTCCTATTTTCTAAAATGAAAAATTTGTTATAAGGAAATCAGCATTTTTTAAAAGTTAGTAAATTATGGCTCATTTGATTTATTATACCCATGTTTCTTAAGTTAAGGTCCTCTTAACATTATAGCTAGATGATACCTTCGTAATAGGAAAAAAACAAAAGCCCTAGAGCAACTTTCCCAGGATACTGTATATTTATTAGTATAAAAGAAAGTGAGGCATTCTCTACTTGATCACTCAGGTTCTACAAAATGACCAACTGCAGAAAGTGAGCAGGACTGCATGAGAGCAGGTATACTTCTGGCTAGTTCTCTGGTTTTTAGCTGCCAGGAAGGAGATCCCTTTCAATGGAGGCTCTCCTTGAATTTTCCACCTTGGATAAATCAATCAGTCTATAGGTTCTAGAAATTCACTTTCAGGTATATAAAGTCAAGAGAACTACTGAGGGTGAGGCAGCCAACCCATGGGAGTATTCTGAGAAAAAACACAGAATTCAATTAGCATTTACTTATTCAACTGTTCTACTTTCTTTTCTTGACCTTTTCTTTTCATGTTCTTATCTCTCTTTTTTGGTTTTCTTCCTTTTGATCCTACCTAGACTTTAAGCCTGCATGTATGTGGCTCTTACAAGTACTTTAGTCCTGTTAGTGGTTCTGTTCTTGACTTCTATCCCAGTGTTAAGGATTGCCAACTTGGAACGTCAGCTTTACATTCTTATGTTAACTTCCATTTTTAGACAAAAATCTTGAGTTATGCTAATTCCTAAAGTCAGTCCACTTCACCAAATCTTAGTAATGTACAAATATTTATTAGTGGTTACTGGTAAAATACACTCCTACTATGCATTACAAAAGTTGAAGATGCAGTCTACAAATTTAAAAGCTTCAAGAATGGACTTCAAATGAATAAGCAGACAATAAGAATGTTAGCAAGAGTGGTGAAGGTTCTTCAATAGTATAAAAAGTGAGCAATGATGGTAAGTAGTATCTCATAAACAAACCTGTAGGTGATATGGAGAATCAAAGATAGAAGGTATGACTCCAGGTTTCAGTTTAATGTTTGGAGCACTTCTGTCAAAATCTGTCTTCTTAAAGTGCCTCGAACACAACACATCTCCTTTTTTAGGCTCCCAAATGCCGGCTGCATTCACATCAAGTCTTTTCATTGCTAATACCCATTTCCTTTTGATGTTTTCATCTGTGGGGAATCTAGAAAAAAATACAAAAAATATTTAAAAATCAAATGCTATTAATATATAATTGAATTAAAGCTGTCATACAATTGTAACTAAATTGATTTGTTAACTTTTTTTTTTTTGAGACACAGCCTCACTCTGTCACCCAGACTGGAGTGCAGTGGCTTGATCTTGGCTCACTGTAACCTCTACCTCCCAGGTTCAAGCAATTCTCCTGGCTCAGCCTCCCAAGTATCTGGGATTACAGGCACAGACCACCACACCCAGCTAGTTTTTGTATTTTTAGTAGAGGTGGAGTTTTACTGTGTTGGCCAGGCTGGTCTCAAACTTCTGACCTCAAGTGATCCACCTGCTTCTGCCTCCCAAAGTGCTGGGATTACAGGTTTGAGCCACTGACTGTTATTAGTCTCAAGAATTACAATATTTAGGAAACCATAATTCATCCTTTTATAACTTTCAGTTTTAATATTCAGATTTTTGTGCCAATCATGCTGCAGATACATGGCCCTCATTTCAATTTTTCTCATATTATAAGAAAGAAAAGTTTCAGTGGATATTAGCATCTTATAGTAAGAGCCACAATTGAAGGTATTTATTCATCTATAGATGATAAAAGAATTATCACTTAGGCCTTTTCCTATCTGAAATGATACCCATAATTCGATAAAAAGGGCCCATTGTAATTCCATTCCTCTGTCAGCACCAGAAAATTGCTTGGTACAGCATACAACAGCAGGTCTACAGATGCCCAGTGAAAGAATGCAGAGAATAGATGCAGAGTATGGAGTTCTGGAGATAAGAGCTATTTTGAGAGATTTGAAGGCCAATAGCCATATCTTACTCAATTTTCAAGCTGATTCAAATTTTTCTGAAATAACATAGGTAATATATGCTCATTTTTTATTTCCTTATATCTAACAAAGTAGCTAGGAGATCTTTCTCTAATACAAAGCACAGTGCCTGGCACAAAAGCAGCAAAATAAACCTTTAGCAAGTGAACGATTATTAGATCTTATTACTCCTTCATTTACTCTTTCATGGCTTTCAGGAGAACGCCTAAAATATGAAACTAAAATCATCTCGATTTATTTGCAACACAGATAAAGATCCCTTGGTCTGAACTTGTAATTTATGTTTTTTCCTACAACTTATGCTTGATCTATTTCTAATTAGAAAGAGCAATATATCTTAGCAAAGCTCCTTCATTCACACTGTAAAGTACATGAAAACAACATTGAATTTCTTTGGCTGTAGGACAAAATACAAAGTAATAATATCAGCAAAAGTGAGCCTTACGGTATTTTTTTGTAAACCAGTCTCTGATACACTTGGCAGGTATCTTAAACGTTTAAACTAAATTATAAACATGTAGAGGTATCACGATGTCACTTCAAATTTAACAAAAAGGGTATTTAAAAAGGATTTGGGAACTAAAGTTCAAAACTGAAGACTTAAGTAGAACTGTCTTTTCCTTTTTATAACATGGCCAAAGTATTTGGCTTAACTACAGCAAAATCTTACACGTGAAATGTCAGTCCTTTTAACTTCGAATTTGGCAAACAGCGAGAAGCACATCCAATGGCGGAGCAGCATTTCACCATTTTAGCAACTCATAACAGAACTGAAAGAAAATTAGAATGTTAAGAGTCAGTAACTTGAAAGCTGAAGGGAACATTTTCCGTTTCCCAGCGTTTTAGGAAACATGAAATCAGGTTAGAAAACCAAAGACAAATAGTTTCTTCTAACACCTGCAGCTTTGCTTAGAACATTTTCCGGCGTCTTGGCTATTTAACAAGGTGAAACATATTTAGCTATGAACCCTGAGGCACCTGATTTCCATTTGTCGGCCTGTACACTTCTCTTCTACCTTCGAATGGGTACCATGTTCTCTGTGCCACAAAGCCTTTTGCACACTAACTCCTACTCATCTTTCAGCCCTCAGCTTGCATCGCTTCCCCAAGGAAACCTTCCGACTGTTGACACCCAGATTAAGTCAGAGCTCCTCTAATATTAGCTCTCACAGGACACACATTTCTTCCTAGCACTTTTCCAAATTGTAACCACATTTATTGCAGTGACTGCTCTTATTAACGTCTTCCTCCTCCAGCAGTCTTGTTAGTTCCATGAGGGCATGGTAGAGTGTGTCTATTTTTTCTCACTTTTTGTCCTCACAGTTTAGCTGGTGACTGGCAATAGTGAATGTTAGTACATACTTGGAATGAACAGCAAGTAAACGGGAAATGGAGGAAGCAAGGGGCACTTCGAGGTGCTAGCGACTGCCCTGGCGTCCAAGAGCGCCGCGCGGGACCCGCAGAGCCCAAGACCTGGGCCGAGCTCCGCCCCTTTCTCCAGGCTTCCCGACACCCGTGAGAGAGGGAGGGGCCGCCCTGTCACAGGTAACGGTGCGCCCCGAGAGCGTCCATTCCTCAGGGGCCAACCAGCGTCTCCGCGCCGCTGCAGCCCACCTCGCGGCGAACCACGCCCTGAGATTTCGGCGGGTAGCGATGGGGGGAAAAGAAGAAGCAACCTAAGAGTTATTACCGTCAGTAGAGAAGACTGCGACTAACGTCAACGACGGAGACTGCGTCTGCCCTCGCTTCCGCCTCGTAGTCCCGGAAACCGGAAATCCGTTTGCCCCGGGTCACGTGCTTAGGAGCCATATTAGCGCTGGTGACGGCTGCGGCTGGGAGGGGGTGTGCTAGAGCGGCGCAGCTTCACTGGGCGTGGTTTTCATCCTGTGGGAAGGCTCGGTGGAATGTGAGGGGAGGTGGAGGAGATGGCGGCGACGGCGCGGGAAGATGGCGCGAGCGGTCAAGAGCGAGTGCAGCGGGGCTGCGAGCACTATGACAGAGGATGTCTCCTGAAGGTGACGCCTTCAATGGGCTCTTCCCCGACGAGCTTCCGCTGGGCTGGGCTGGGGCGGACTGGGCAGGCAGTTAGGCTTGGATTTAAGTTTGAGGTTAAGCTGCTTTTCAGGGTACCTTTTCCACTTGGAATTGGGTTCTTCTTGAGGAGAACGTTTTTGGCAAGGCTGTAAGCCCCACCTTTCCTACCTGCTTCGTACCTTGAAAGCAAAACCCTGTTTCTTGAGAATTGATTAGGCTTGCACAGTGGTCTCTTTGCATATGGGTTTATTCGCCTTTTGCTGTTGAAGTACACTGAGGCAGCCCCGGCATGTCCTGGGCTTTTCCCTTCAGGTATGTGGTGAAATAATGGAAGTCAAGATAATGGAAATAAGCAAGTGGAGAACTAGAATACGATTTCAGCTCCTGTAGTAAAGTTATATAGCCTGCCAGCTTCATTTTAGAGGCGATGCGTATGTTTAGACTTACGTAGGAGAAAACATACGTCCGAAAAAAAGAAGACAATCATGTAATTGCCATTAAGTAGGAAATTATGTATAGGAAAATGCCTAGTGAGTATGTATCGTTACTTTGAGAAAACTTCTTAAGCTATATATTTTTTAAATTGGCATGTATTCAATTGAAGTTTCATGATTTTCCTTGCAAGAAGCAGTACAAAAATTTTGCTTAGAATACTTGAGTTTTGGAATCTCAACCGCCCTATATCCAAATCTTTGCTCTTCTCTTTAATAACTGTGATTTTAGCTAGCTCCTCTTTACCCCATACGTAAAGTGGGGATGATAGTCCCTGTTTCATTAAAGTGTATGAGGAGTATGTATACTAGAGGGCATGTATAGTGTTTAACGGTGCATTCCCTGAAGTAAATGAGTAGTAAATGTGTACTACCATGACTATTACCATCATCATCAGTCTGATTATCATTTTTTGTCCCTTCACTCACAAGTCAGCCTTGCTGGTCACTGTCTCATTATTAGAAGCAAGTTCTAGTCTCAGGCCTGTAAGTGGATCCTAAGCTCTTTGTGTAAGTCATGGTTTGATGAACATCGGTCCACTGCATACAAGAAGCTCCTTAAAGTTGGTCATTCACCAAGTGTTTTGTAAGGAAATTGAATGCTATCGTTATGATTGCATTTCTACTGAGATGTGTTATTACTCTTTCAGACTTGAGGTCAAAAACTGATTTTAACATCTTACCCCCCCCATAAACTACACAATTAGATCTGTGTATCATAGCACTAAGAAAGATACTTAGCCCTGGGTGTCAAACAGTTTTTGCCTTCCATCTCTCTCCCTCTTAAATACCAGAGGCCAAGTGAAGCATTTCAAGGAGGAAGTGGTCAAGTAGGTCAAATGCAGTTGTTTGAGTAAGATAACTGAGAATTGCCCTTTGGATTTGGCAAGGAGGAGATCACTTGATCTTGACAAGAGGAGTTCCAGTGGAGAGGTCAGGATTCGGGTGGATTTAAGAGAATGGGAGGAGTGGAATTGAAAATAGCACTTACAGATAGTTCTTGGGGTTTTGCTATAAAGGGAAGCAAAAAATAAGGTATGGTTGCTGGGCCATGATATTTTTTACTCTTTGAGAGAGAGGAAGTATTGCAGCATGTTTGTATATTCTAGGAAATGATCCAATAGAGTGAGAGCATTTTATAATGCAAGAGAGAGAAGGAAAACTGTAGGGGCATTGTCCTTGAGTAGCCAAAGGGGATGAAATCCAGTGCACAAGTGAGGGAGTTGGCCTTAGAAGCATAGACGTCAGTTCTTCCTAAGGGAAGGCAGAGGATGAGGTATATTTGCAAGTTAATAGAGATGATAGGAGGATGTTCTCTTTTGATTATTATTTTTTTCAGGCCTGTTAGCAGGAAGTATAGTTACTGTTTTTATAGTGAACACTCATCAGCAGAGTGTTAAGGAGGGAGAGAGAGGTGTTAGAGTTTTAAAGCCAGAAAAGATGTGAAATGATCATTTAAATCTTAGATCTTAGACTCTAGAAGAATGAGAGAATGAACCAGCAAGGATGGTGATGTTTTTTCTCTAACCATATTCAGCTGCTTCTGATACAAATCTAATAGGATTTAACCTGGATTGGGATTGTGATCTGTGAGTGTAGGGGAAGAGAGAAGGGAACTAGGGTGTATGCAAGGGAGGACTTGGAGTAAGTTAGAGAGGAGGTAGCGGTTAGTGAATTTGATGCTTGGAATTGAGATGCAGAGAGAATGCAGTTGTTCTGTAGCAGTGACTTTCAGAGTGTGGTGAATGGACCCCTGGGGATCTTGAGGTCCTTTTGGGACCTGCAAGGCCAATACTACTTTCTTTGAATACTAAGGATTTTTTTTTTTTTTTCAGTTCGTTCACACTTGCTCTGATGGTGGAAAAGCACTACTTAATACTGCTAGTACCTTAGCTTGAATCAAGACAGTGGCACTGAATACTACACCTATAGTTTTTTTAAAAAGCCAGTTTCACTTAAAAATGTTGATAAAGCAGTAAAATCATTAATTTTCTTCAAATCTCAACCCTTGAGTGTATGTCTTTTTAATATGCTGTTCAGTGACATGGGAAGTTTTCATCAAACACTTATGCAAACCTAAATTAAAGGGTTATCTTGAGGAAAAACTTTTGTGCAATTGGATTGTAAAGTGAAATAGTTGCCTTTTTTCATGGAACAGCATTTTTTACTTGAAAGAACTACAGTCATTCACATTTGAGTATTTGGCAGACATTTTCTCCAAAAGGAAAAAAGTGAGACTCACTACCAATGAAAATGACAGTATTTGCTGCCAGTGATAAAATTCAAGCTTTCACACAAAAATTAAAATTTTGGAAAAGTTTTATTAGCTTTTGTAAGGTTGGAAGCTTTTTAAAAGACTTTTTTTGGTGAGATTTTCTTCAATACCTAAAGACTTTTAATGAATATGATTTTTTTTGTCATTACATGTTACATGTGTGAATATGTGGGAGATATAAGTAACTCACTGAACTAGTATTTTTCAAATGACCAATGCATGAGTAAAACATCCATTTGAAGTGCAAGATAGATCAATGGATTTTAATGTAACAGAGGAAGAAAAGTTCACTGATATGATTTCAGATTTCATGTTGCAACTACCCTTTAAGCATTGTTATTTTAGTGTAATATAAGAGAATAATATCCATAATTCTCCGAAAAGTCAATTAAAATACTCCTTTCTTTTCCAGTGCACATATTTGTGTGAGGCCAGGATTTCTTCTTGTACTTTAGCCACAACTGTTTGACTGCATAAGCAGAGACAAGAATTCAGCTATTTGGGGGGAAAGTACAGTTATTTTTCATTAAAATATTTATGTTAGCAAGCAATGAGTTTGTTGCTTTTAAAAAGAAATAATATTTTTAAAATGTATCCTTTTTAATTTATGGTATGGTATATATCAATAGATAAAATCCACATAAACCAAAGTTCTTTGGGATTCTCAGTAATTTTAAAAAGTGTGAAGGAATGCTGAGACCATACCATTTGAGGATGACTGTTCTACCATGTAACTATGAGATTATGTGGGTTGGAGGACAAGGTTATTGGAAGTGAGAAAGTGAAGGAACTGAGAGTTACGGAGAAAGGAAGCCACTTAAGTGTTAAAATCTTTAAGGGATTAACTACATTAGGGTAAGTCATGGCATAGGAAGCCTTCAGAAATGAGTGATCTGCAAAGTCACAATGTACTGGAAAGTACTGGGTTAGCTCACTGGCCTGGAAATCTCTTGATATACTTGTAATGGTAAAGTTGCTGTAATGAAAAAACCCAGACAATGATGTAGATTAAAGTATAAAGGTTTTATTTCTTCCCATTTAACAATTCCAAAGTGAGTGATGCAGATTAGTGATGAGGCTTTGTTCCACATGGTCACTCTAGGGACAATATTTTTCTGTTGTCATTTTGTCATGTTTTAGGGCATATGGCCATCTATGTGGTATAGCTGAACAATTGTGCCCAGGAAGGAGAGGATGGATTTTGGTTGACTGCCATGCTTGAAAACAAGGGCTATCTCTTACATTTGTTGCATTTTCTGCAATATTAGATATGAGGTTATTATTAAAAACTAGTAAAATAAGAATATAATCTTTATTATGTAAATGAATTTATCTGGAAGTGTCTGAGAAGAGGTTTCCTGTCTGCTGTTTAGGCTCAGAATGAAATTAGGGTGCTGTATTAGTCTGTTTTCACAGTGCTGATAAAGACATCCCCAAGACTGGGAAGAAAAAGAGGTTTAATTGGGCTTGGAGTTCCACATGGCTGGGGAGGCCTTAATCATGGTGGGAGGCGAAAGACACTTTGTACATGGTGGTGGCAATAGAAAATGAGGAAAAAGTAAAAGCGGAAACTCCTGATAAACCCATCAGATTTTGTGAGATTTTATTCCGTATCACAGGAATAGCATGGGAAAGAGTAGCCCCTGTGATTCAGTTACTTCCTTCTGGGTTCCTCCTACAACACGTGGGAATTCTTGGACATACAACTCAAGTTGAGATACGAGTGGGGACATAGCCAAACCATATCACGTGTTGCAGGAGTAGTGTTTCAAGGAATTTCCTTCATAATTCTTTTGTTTTGAAGTTTGGTTAAACTTCATATAGACATAGTGATGTGAAGGGAAGAATTAACATAAAATATGTGAAGAAACTAGTGAAATGTTTAGGGTCAGTTTAGCATCTGATCTACTGGGTGTAATCTTTGAGTTCCAGAAGGAGGAGGAAAAAATTTTCTTTTTGCATTGAACACTTGGTTTCTCTTGCTTCTTACTATATCTCTTTTTCTCCCATGGGGGTTAGGCACCTTGCT